CCAGTTTCCTGTGCTAAGCGTCTTAACGATTTTCGAGGACTGATCTGTAATCTTGCCTGAATATCCTTAACCTTTTCTTCAGTCAGCACAGTTCTCTTCGATTGCTTCTTCTTGTCACTCACTGAACCTGTGGCCCGCCACTTTTTCAGAAGCCTGTTTACACACGACTTTGTGGGAACTGGCGAGTCAGGATATTTCTGACGAAACCTATGTGCGAATTTTCTGTAAATGTTTTTCCTTGCAATAGTTTCGACAATAAACACACGCTGTTTAATAGTGAACTTCATTTCCACCGTCTGTCGACAGCTGTAAACATTCCACTCCACTTCCACAGCAAGACAAAGACTGACTGTTTAATGCAACCTCGGGTTCCGATTATGCAACCATCGGCGTAGGAGCACTGCAGTCACGGGGAGGAGTTGCATCCGTTCTGCGGTGGTATGACTCATGGCAAATTGCAGCCGCGGCGCGCACTTGATTGTACACACTGTATATATATATATATTTGGAACATGTAACAAGATGCACACACCATAAAGACTACTGGAAGGTTAGCTTTTTCACCCTATCATAATGGAGAAAATAAAGCTAACATGAACTACACAGGTGGACATGGAGTCAGGAACATACGCATTTTCTCTGACCCATTTATCATTTCAACTTCATGATTACAATTCATATTCTTTGAAATTGATATTATTTCCAGACAAGCTATTAAAGCATAAAATGTATGTCCTGGAACCTGTAATGTGTCAAAGTCTTGTGTTGTACATATACTTTGTTATTTATATCTGAATTATGTCTATGTATGTATGTAGTCGTACTTATGTGCAGTTCAGTCTTTTATGCATGCTCGCTTGGATATGTGTGTGTGTTTGGCCTGTTATAGTATTAGGTCTATTTAAATATGTTGTGCAGTTCAGTCTTTTATGCATGCTCACTTGGATATGTGTGTGTGTGGCCTGTTGTGGTATTAGGGCTATTTAAATATGTTAAAGGGGGGAGAGAGCATTACCACAACATGCCACTTTCCACACACACGAACACAAACCAAAACACGTGCATGTGTGGAAGAGGTTCAACCACACATAACTACAGCCACATGAAGAGGGATAATTCAGATTTAAATAACAAAGTATATGTACAATATAAAACCTTTGAAACATTCCAGGTATTTGGATGTACACAGGCACACATTGCCAATAAACAAATACACAATACTGGGAGATGCATCACATCACACAGCCTCTTAAATTCAAACATTTTTTTAAATTTTCAGCATAATAAAAATAATTAATTTGTTCAAGAGTAAGGAACTTAATACATAGCATGATATCACTGTGCCAACACTGTAATAGTTTACATCCAACTGCATACACACATGATTATGATCCATGCGAGACCAAAATGTGTCATGTAATATATAGTGGCAGGTCAAGAAATAAGAGTGGTTAAATGAGGAAGTGCACTTAAATTTGCAGTGAAGGCTGTGTTTCTGTACATATGTGTAGCAGGATACCAAAATATTACTTTATGAACAAAGTGCACTCGTATTATAGTTGACTGTATGTCTGAAGTCATCATTACAAAAATGCATTTTCTTAACTTGTTTTCTACTGATTTTCTATGCTACAAGCAGGAAGGTCGCAGGTTCAGTTCCCTGTGAGGACCTTGGTTTTTCAATTAACCTAATCCTTCCAGGGAGCCAAGTTAGCATAGTTCGTATAGCGACTGGCTACAGGCTGGATCACTGAGGGACTGGAGTTCAAGTCTTGGTAGGGTCAAGAATTTTCTCTTCTCCAAATAATCCAGACCAGCTCTGGGGTCCACCAAACCTCCTATCCATTGGGTGCTCGGGGCTCTTTCCCTGGGGTAAAGCAGCCGGCAAGTGAGGATGACCACTCACTTCCAGCTAGTGTCGAGGTCAAGAAAATGTGGATCTATACAGCCACTCTCCCATACGCCTTCATGGCACAGTGCTTAATTCGCTGAGCAGTGAGACAGTTTTACTTTTTTTCCCCCCCTTTTATCTAATCCTTCCAGCCACACTATGGCCCTGGAGTTGACCCAGCCTCTAACAAAAATTTGTACAGGAATATTTCTGGAGGTAAAGAGTGGCCAGCATGTAAGACTGGCAAGCTCACAGCCATCTGCCAGCCAATTTTCTAGAAAATATGTGAGCCTCAAAATATTACAGCCTTATGGGCCTCCACGGCCTGTTACAGGGATAGCTTCCACCCCCCTCCCCCCAGCTTATTTTATTCCAGGAAATTAAACCCAAACAACAGAAATATAATTCTTGAAATATTAGGAGTTGAGTGTAAAATGTAAATGTAAAACAACTCATTTTTGGATACATGTCAGATGATATGAAAAGCTACTGCTCTCTGCATTCACAAGCCATTCACCTGCTCTGAAGATGGAGGCGATACGTTCCTCCAAAACATCAGCCAAAACCCAGTAGACGACTTTCTTCATAGTCATCACCGTGAAAACCTCAAAACTTACAATTTATTTTATGTTTGATTTTTCAGTTATTTAAAATATTGCAAGGCATGTGGAAAAATTATATTCAGCATGAAGTATGTGACATAATTTCCACTACAACTTCTGTTTGAATTAAATTCTTGCTCCAGTATACACATAATGAATTACACTGAGATACTTGCAGGGACACATGCATGCCTTCATGTAAAATGGTCATTAAAATATTTCAATTTAAATGAAAATTGAAATGGCTCATAATTCTTGAACCTATATTTCATATAAAAATTGTAGATAATCTGAGCACCAGATCCAGTGTCACGTGTGCATGTGAGGGCAGGTGTAAGGAAAACTTCATGTGTACTGTGCAGCAAAGCAAAAGTTCCAAAAGTGAACCATAAAAAGAGAAGTCTGCTCACAGATAAACAGGAGTTTACTGTGTACCTTCTTACTGGACTCATCCAATTCTTTTTCAAGACATTTGATCCTCGCATCTGTGGTGCTTCTTACGTATTCATTTTTCCCTTTCATGGTCTGCACCTGACAAAATAAAGTACCACAGTACACATAAATACATATCAAGGTACAAATACACTCACTGACATACAAGATTCCAAGTACTTCTTTTGGTTTATTTTGGACTTCACCCATCGTCCGGTATAAGCTAGTCTCAATCACTGGACCAGTGATTGAGACTAGCTCTTTCTAAGGGGCCCAACTGAGTAGGTTAAACCTTCCCTATACACCTGAAGACGGAGACAGATCCAGTCTCCGAAACATTGTGGTTTTTTGTCTTTTTTATATACCGGACGATGGGTGAAGTCCAAAATAAGCCAAAAGAAGTACAGTATACACCATCGTCAGAATCCTTTCAAGATTCCAAGTGTTAATGAGGTCTCTCATTTCTGATGTCAGGCTCAGGTGTAAATGAAAAGCTAACTAAGAATTAGAAAGATTTGCTTTCAGCCCATTGTAGTGGACATACCAAAGTTAAAATACACTATACAAGTAGAGACAGTGTCAGGAACATAAGCATTTCCTGAAGACCGTACATTATTTCAACGTTCTGTTTATAACTGTAATTTTTTAAAGTGGCAGTATTTTGTCACTATCTATTAATGCCTACATACTCATGCATAAAATAACAGTACACAAATAGATAAATAACTGCAGTTCCAGTTGGCTTAGGCCGCTCTCTACATAAGCGCACAAAATGCATCCGTTTTAACAAACGACATGACGTCTGTTGTAGAAATAAAGAAGAGAGGCAAATGCTACGCTATCTTCTGGCTCCATTGCAGACAAAAGACTACGCATCGCATTCTGCAACTGTGTGGTGTCCACAGCAACATCCGTCATAAAGTACGTTTGTTACAACGGACGCATTTTATGCACTCGTGTAGACGCTGCCTAAATATGACAATTGATATGAAGATAGGAAACAGATATTTTGAAAATGTGGCACAGTTCAGATATTTGGGAACAACGATAACAGATCGAAACCTGATTCGGGTGGAAATTAAGAGGTGATTGAACTCGGGTAATGCTTGCTACCATTCAGTCCAGAACCTTTGTCTTCTCGTCTGTTGTCCAAAAACATAAAAATTAGAATATACAAAACTATAATTTTGCCTGTGGTTCTGTATGGGTGTGAAACTTGGTCTCTGACATTAAGGGAGGAACACAGACTGAGGGTGTTTGAGAACAGGGTATGGAGCATATTTGGACCGAAGAGAGATGAAGTGAAGGGAGACTGGAGAAAACAACACAATGAGGAACTTTCTAACCTGTACTTTTCTCAAAGTACAGACAACTCTCGATTATCCGGGGGCGGATTAACCGGTTTGCAGCTTAACCGGGGCTACTGAGGCTTTTTTGAGTCTTATATGTTGTTTAATATTCATTCACTTTCGTTTCACACAGTGAGTTGTAACACTATTTTCGCACTAGTGTGAACCACACTCTGCAGTCTTTGGTCCCGTTATGCTAACACAATGTTCTAAGGTATGGGTGAAAGAATGCAAGGCTTTGGGGAAAGTTTCAAGGACACATACACCGCCCCAGTTAGTTTCTTTGTATCGATCTTCAAGTGCGTTAGCAAAATGTCAGGGTGTAAAAGGAAGCGTCTTGTGTTAAGTATTCAACAGAAAAAGGAAAATGCCGCGAAAAAGTAAACGACAATATTAAATTTTTTTAAGTGTTAAGTGTGAATATTCGTAAAAGTGCTGGATGTTGTTGAAGACTGTGATTGAAATAACTAATTCATACTTCAGTGTAATGTAAAAAAGTATTAAATAGGCCATGAGAAGACATAACAATGAGGTTGAATAAATTTAAATACAGGTGGGCCTATAGTATTATGAAGGTACAGTATTACAGTACTACTTTTAATAAAATTTGTCTTAACCGGGTTTTTAATTAATCATGATTTCCATCCCCACCAGTATCCTGGATAATCGAGAGTTGAGTGTATAATTAGAATTACCAAGACAAGGAAGATCAGGTGGGCAGGCCATGTAGCACAAATGGGGGAGACGAGGAATGCATATAGGTTATTGGTGGGAAAGCCAGAAGGAAAGAGACCACTGGGAAGACCAAGGCGTAGGTGGGTGGACAATATTAGAATGAATCTTGGAGAGAATGGATGGGATGGTATGCATTCGATAGATCTGGATCAGGACAGGGACCAGTAGAGGGCTCTTGTGAACATGGTAATGAACCTTCGGGTTCCATAAAATGCTGGGAAATTCTTGAGTAGCTGCAGAATTGGCGACTCCTCCAGAAGGGCTCAGCTCCATGAATAAGTAAGTAAGTGTAAGATATTGTAGGATTTGTTTGAAGTTCTAGCAGTAAAGTGACTAGTATTGTAGATGAATCTAAGAAGTGTATAGTTCTCTCATGTCTTCTAATTTTCTCAAGCAATGAAACAAAATCAACAGAAACACACTTCAAGAAATCACTTAAGAATTAAGAGTGTGCATTTAAACTGTCAGTGTATTTTTTAAACTTCAAATAATTGATCCAAAGACACATATCTGAAGATATTAAAAGATTTGATTACATGTCGTACAGAAAGTATTATGGGACAAATCTGTATCGAAACCAAAGAGAATGATATTTACAGAAACATTCTGAATTATGAATTTTGGAGATGTAGAAAAATTGGAAAGATCATGAACACATACATAATGTCCAATTTATTTGTTACAAGATGTACAAGATGTGCCTGTATGTGTGTCAAGCAGATAACAACAAAAACTGCATGTATATTGAATTTTACAAGATTTAAAAATAAATATTTAGGATTGTGCATATGCTTCTACTAGCAGTGTGAGCGCGCTTCCACTAGCGAAGTTTAAATGCTCAACTGCACAAATAGGTGTACTTTGGCCATGATGACCATACTCATCACTGGACCGATCAGGGTACTTCAGACATTAAGAGTTAATATGCACTGCACAGGAATGTAAATGCTCCCAAGATGTTTAATAAGGAACCACAAACTGGGAAGTATGCTCACAGTTGAATCGGACTGTTCAGTAAGTATTTCTTCCTTGGTGTTACATTATATGGACATCTTACATTATACCTTCTCATTGGACTCTTACTTGATCATCAAGATGCTGGACCTTTGAATAAAGTAGTTCCACAGCACATTTGGCATGTTGAAGTTCTGCTTTCATTTGCTCCATCTGTCAAAACATTGCATCACAGTAAACAAAAATACTCATCAGGGTGCAAATAAAGTCACTGTATTGCAAGATACTAAGAGTGAAAGACATCTTTCTGACATTTAACTCAGGTATAAATGAACAACTGCTTAGGAACTGGTGGAAGATTTAATTTTCTATCATAAATAACATTCCAGAGCTAACAACTGAAACTGACAGAGATAAGGATAGGAACATATGCATTTCTTCTTACCCAGTATAGAATTTCAACTTCAAATTTACAATTTTGACTTTTGAAACTGATAGTGTTTCGAGACCGCATGTTGTCCAGTTTATTTAATTACAGCGAAACCTCGATTCATCGTTTTCGTCGGGGCTTCTGAAAAAAAAAAAACGATGGTTGCGGGAAAACGATAGATGCGGGGCCTATATAAAATGAATGAAAACGGTCACATTTGCCTATGTGTATTAACTAAATCAAAAAACGCAAACCAGTGATATTTCCACTGTCAAGTCCAATTCGCGTTACTACTTTTTAAAAAAAGTCATTAATTTTCATTTGTTTAGTAGCACCTTTCCTTTTCAAGCTGAATAATAATCTTTTAATATTAACAATGTTCGCTTGGTCTCTTTCGGTGATGTCGTGAGCATATGTGAACGCTCTCACTGACTCAAATGCACGAAGTGCTTCCGTAAAACTGGGCACTGGTTCGGACTCGGTTTCATCGTCATCACCACGATCACCACCTCCATCACCTTGCCCCTGCGCAGTCGTTCTTCTAGAGTCCGAACTTTTTTCACAGGAAGCGCCATGTGGGAGAAAATTGTTGACGACGCTAACAATAATACGAAGCACGTCGAGGATCGAACACGTGATGGACTGTATACTCAACCAGGCGAAATCGCGAACTGAGTTGATTCACACGATTCACACTAACATACAGTAAAGTTTTCCTAGCTGGAGGGTTCTTGGCATCCCCTTATCGCTCACGCTCATTGTTTTGCAGGTAAGACGCGCTCAACGTCGTATACCACACATTTTTACGGTACTGCTACTTGCTACACCACGTTTCAAAAACATCAGCCGCTTTAACTACTACCAATGCTTACTAACATTTGTGTGGTGTTGCACTTTCTTAAAACGATCAATGCGGGATTAACATTCATGGGGACCAAGAATTCTGACCGATAGATGCGGGAAAACGATAAATCGAAGAACGATCGATGCGGGTTTTATTTCCACAGTTTAGATAGGATTTGTTCAGGGACCACAGAAATTAAACGATGGTTCCGGGAAAACGATATATTCGGGAACGATAGATCGAGGTTTCGCTGTATACTGTTAGGTCGAAAACCAACGGAAGAAGTATACTTAACATAAATTATGTGATTATCTTCGCTCTACACCTCTTGTTTGCAATGTTTTCTTGCTCTGACAAATACATAATGAATTAACCTTTTTATACACATAGAAACGGGGGCACGCGGTAGCGTAGTTGATTGAGGCACTATGCTACAAGCTGGAAGGTTGCAGGTTCAAGTCCCGATGAGGTCACTGGATGTTTTTCAATTGACCTAATCCTCCTGGCCGCACTATGGCCCTGGGGTCGACTCAGCCTCTAACAGAAATGAGTACCAGGAATTAATTAAATAATTTTCCTGGGGAGTAAAGCGCAGCCGGCCCGTAAGGCTGACAACCTTTTAGCTGATTGTCTAGATAATGTGGGACCCTCAACATCTCACAACCCTATGGTTCTTACAGGGATAGCTTTACTTTTTTATACATATAGAAACATATATGTCTGCATGTGAAGTAATTACTAAAGTTCAGAAATAAACATGGCAGTTTAAGTGGTTTCATAGTCCTTTGTAGAATTATTTTATGCTAGATTTCTTGAATGTGCGAACATTGCTTCTGGAGTTGCACATGAACCAGATAGACAGTTGGACAGATGGACTGAGCAACTTAATAGCCAATCTACAGAATTCTAATGCTCCATATGTCACTTGAATAAACCCAAAATGTGAAAACTGTGCATATACGAGTATAACTGAGAGTATAATATACGTATATATATTTGCCCTCTGGTGTTATGTTACACACACGTCTTGCTGTGTAACTCTTTATTGGTCTCCAATTACTAGTCTTCAGTGTGTATTATCTTCACATCAGACTCTCTGACTGTTTGAAACTGATAATATTTCGAGATTATCTATTAATCTACACATACTCATGCACAAAATAACAGTACATACACTTACTGAGGACACAGAAATTGGCCATTCCACGGAGTTTAAATATGAGAGTTGAACAACTGACTGAGGAACAATGTGTCTAAATATACTGTGAGACAATTTGTATATTGTATTAGCAACTTTAATGTACAATATTATGCTTTCAGTATTGCTTATTAATTATGATGTAAACTGAGAAATAGTTTTAAAATGTAATGGTTATATTAACAGAGTGTAGGGCATTATAGGCACAAGTGAGCTGCAGCTGAACACAGCTTCAGCTTCAGACACTGCATTCAATTTCACAGTACCTTCATTCTTGCCACTAAGATGTGTTACATGAACTGCATTGTTAGGGAGGCCATTGAAATTTAGCTCCATCCCAAAAGTATGAATAGAAAGGTGGGCTTCTGTCTCAGCAAGTCGTGGAAGCCTCAAACCTGCTCCTTCCATATCTGTTAGACTATGCAGGTCAATGCATGCCCAGCAGTTTAGACCCAAGGCTACCGCATCAGTGCTCACTCGGAAACCCTCGGTTTCCCCCTGACACAATCCTGTATTGGCTTTGGCCTGCTACCTGCTCGCCCAGCTCAACAGACCCTACTTCTCTCCTCTCTAATGATTTGCCATGTGGCTCATTCTCCCTCCCTTCCATTTCTTATATAGCTGTGTGTTTCAGACTGGTGGCTCAGTGTAGAGCCACCCGCTCACTCTGGTTCCCTGCTTGCGGATTTATCTACCATGAAGATGGAGGCGATACCTTCCTCTGAAACGTTCATTCACGCAAGGGCTACACAGCGCCACATCCAAGAAGACGGCATTCCTCTTTATAGAGAGCATATCAACATTTCTGCCAAAGAGAGTCTAGGTTTTTATGAATTGAAGAAGCATAAGCCATGGTTCAATGAAGGATGCTCAGATTTATTAGACCGAAAGAAACAAACCAAATTGCAGTGGTTGCCGGATCCAAGTGATATAAGTGGCAATAATCTGAACAATATAAGACGTGAAACTGGCAGGCAGTTTAGGAATAAAAAGAGTGAATAACTGAAAGACAAAATTTATGAGCTTCCAATGAATTGTAAGATCAGGAACATTTGAGACCTGTATAGAGGAATAAATGAATTTAAGAGAGGTTACCAACCTAGAACTAACTTAGTGAAGGATGAGATCTGCTTGCAGATTCCCACAATATTTTAATAGGCTGTAAGAACTACTTCTCTCAGTTACTGAATGTACATAGTGTCAGTGATGTTAGACAGACAGAAATACATACAGCTTAGACATTAATACTTGATCACAGCCCGTTTGAGGGTGAAATTGCTATTGCAAACTGAAAAGGTATAAATTGCCAGGTAGTGGTCAAATTCTGGCAGAACTTATTCAAGCAGGAGGCAAAATATTCTAAGATCCATAGCTGATTAATTCCATTTGGAATAAGGAAAAATTGCCTGATCATTGGAAGGTGTCTATTATTGTACCAGTTCACAAGAAGAGTAATAAAACTAAGTGCCGTGATTATCGTGGGATATCACTGCTATCAACTTCGAACAAAATTTTATCCAGTATTCTTCTCTCAAAGTTAAGTCCATAAATCAGTGTTAGTTTCGATGTAAGAGATCAACTACTGATCAGATCTTTTGCATTCGTCAGATACTGGAGAAAACATCAGAGTACAAGGAGACAGGACATCAGCTATTCATAGTCTTCAGGATAGCCTATGATTCAGTTAGAGGGGAGAATTGTACAACATTCTGTTAGCGTTTTGGAAACCCATGAAACTAGTCAGGCTGATTAAAATGCGTTTAAGCAAAACATATGGTGAAGTCCGTATATGTAAACAGCTGTATGATAAGTTTCCTATCCAGAATTGTCTAAAGCAAGGAGATGTTTATCGCCGCTGATTTTCAACTTTGCCTTAGAATATGCGAATAGGAAGTTCCAGGAAAATCAGATGGGACTGAAATTAAATGGGATACATCAGCTGTTGGTCTATTCTGATGATGTGAATCTACTGAGTGATAATATAGATACCATAAAGAGAAGCACACAAAATTTAGTTGATGCATGTAAGGAGGTTGGTCTAGAAGTGAACACAGAGAAAATAAGTGTATGTTGCTGTCTCATCACCAAAATGCAGGGCAAAATCAGGACATAAAGATAAATAACAGATGTTTTGGAAATGTGGCACAGTTCAGATATTTGAGAAGGACTGTAACAAATCAAAACCTCTTTCTGGAGGAACACAAGAAGAGACTGAACTTGGATAATGCTTGCTACCATTCAGTCCAAAACCTTTTGTTTTCTCGTCTGCTGTCTAAAATCATGAAAATTAGAATGTACAAAATTAGAATTTTGCCTGTAGTTCTGTATGGATGTGAAACTTGGTCTCTTGGCATTAAGGGACGAACATAGACTGAGGATGTTTGATAACAGGGTGTTGAGGAGGATATTTGGACCGAAGAGAGATGAAGTGAAGGGAAACTGGAGAAAACAACACAATGAGGAACTTTGTAACCTGTACTCTCCTCAAAGTATAATTAGAATTACCAAGACAAGGAGGATGAGATAGGCAGGATATAGAATATTGGTGGGAAAGTGAGAAGGAAAACAAAGACACAGCTGGGTGGGCAATTTTTAAATGGATCTTAGAGAAATAGGATGGGATGGTATGAATTGAATTGATCCGGCTGAGGATATGGACCAGTGGAGTGCTCTCGTGAACATGGTAATGAACCTTTAGCTTCCATAAAATGCTGGGAAGTTCTTGATTAGCTGCACAATTGGCGGCTTCTCAAGAAGGACCCAGCTGCATAATGAGTGATGTTCAATGTATAATTGTTATGTAAACATGATGAATTATGAATTCATAGCCATTGGAATTGAGCCTAAGTCCATTGTCTAAATTAATAAAAGAGAAGAAATGCATAATTAACTGGAAAGCATAGTTAGCCTAGGTTCTGTGTTTGATCAGGACACCGTGGTTACTGTACAATCATGAGGACAGTTACACATGTCTGATGTGGTTAAGTCTGTGAAAAGTTGCAAGATTTTGGAAATTTTATATGGGATGTAAAATATGTGATTCACTTTCCACTACAACTTATCTCTGAAGCGTTTTCTTGTTCCAATAAATAACTACAGAGTTATGCTTGAGATAAATGCAGAAATAGATGTACGCCTTCATGCAAATCGTACTTAAATTTTTCCACCTTAAAGAGATTTAAAGTAGCTTGATGAACCTTGAATAAATTTTTTGTATTGAATTTCTTCACAAACCACATCACTTGTAGAGTTGCACCATGCTCACAGATGGACAGGTGGACTGAAGAATTTAATATGCACTGCACAGCAATGATAATCCTCTGAAGGGCACAAAAATGAAACGCAAAGTTGGAAGTTCATTCACAGATAAACTGGAGTGCTCTGTACATTTTGTTCCTTGGTTTTATGTTATATGCATATATTACTGAGTACCTTCATACTGGACAGCCTTGATTTTTCTTCAAGGTGTTCTTTCAACACATCAGACCGATCCATGGCACGTGCAACTTCTTCAGCTTTCCATTTCATGCACTCCATCTGACAAAAGATTACAACACAATACATTCACCACCATTTAGGGTACCAACAGTGAATGAGATGTAAATGAACAACTACCTAAGGACTGGTGGAATGTTTTGATTTCAGCCACTTATAATGGGCTTGCCAGAGCTTACATAAATGACATACTTAGTGGCTGTAACAGGAAGATAAGCGTTTCCTCTAACACATTACATTATTTCAACTTTGTGATTGTAATTACTTTTTTTAAAATATTATTTCAAATCCAGCTACTAATGTACAACTACTCATGCATAAAATAATGTTGTAAAAGTTTATTGGGGACACAAAGATTTCCAGTTCCACCAACTTTCAATACTACAAACGCACATTACCCTAATACACTGTGAAAAAGTTGCATTTATTAGAAAAATTAATTTCCAGCATTATGCTGTTGCTTATAAATCTTCAGTTAAATTAAAAAACATTTTAAATTTGATATGTATAGTAATTTAGTGTAAAGTATTGTAAGCCTTTCTTCAAATTCTGTCAATGAAATCAACTAATATTGTAGATTAATGTCTGTATGAATTCATCAGTATCAAGAATGTATATTTCAAACTTGTTTTCTATTTATTTCATTCCATAAAATGAAATCCTTTCAATAGAAACATACTTCTCGAAATCATTTAGGAACTGTGTGTGTGTTATAAAGTGTATATACTGAACACAAAATAATTCATTCATAGATACATGTTAGAAGAAATGAGAAATCCTATAGAACCGAATATGATACTCCTTTTGATATCAGAAGTACTTAGAGATTGAAATAATAATTACAAATTAATATGAGTAAATTGTGATAGTTCTGAAAATATTCTGAAGTCAGAAGTCCATAGACTTCTGACTTGTGGAAGCATCAAAATACAGCATAATCCCAATTATCTGAACTAATACAGCTGAAGAGAAGCGTACTTAATCGAAATGCATACATGACCTGTACTAGTTATGATCAGGAAACCATGGTTAATGTACAAACTCAAATGAGAACAGGCAATGTCCAATTTATATAACGATCTGAAGCATCATCATACTGAATACACTTACAATTGGTATACATAAGTTTATATAAAACATTGTATGCCTCAATTTAAGTAAATATTATTTCTCCAATGTGAAAGAAAATTTAAGTGGCCTGATGCTGTGTGGTTAATTTTTTCACATAAAATTTCTTGAAAATGTCACACCTCCACTCGCACCATGTGTCAGATCATTTACACTGAGCAACTTAACACGCACTTTGAGCAATCTGAAACGCGTAAACCTTTCGTGTGAAGTGTGTTCTTTCTTCAATAAATACATAATGATTTATGCTTGATAAATGCGGAGAAACACATGAATGCCCGCATGTAAAGTGATTGTTAAAATTTGTGTGACAAAAATGATAACTGATTTGGCTTGAAAATTCTTGGTAAATTTCTTTCACTTCAGATTTCTTGAAAATCTGAACACTGCTTCCCAAGTTTCATCATGCATCGAATGGCAGATATACAGAGAAAGTTAAAACTGACACTACAGAATTGCGTATGCTCCGAATGGCACACGAATAACACACAAACAAGGAAATCTGTGCATGGATAATTGAAAGCATATTGTACGTGATTGTCCCTTGGTGTTATTTTGTATGCATATTTTACACTGTACCTTGTTATTCGACTCTCTTATCTGGTCTTCAAGATGCTTGATTTTCCAAAAACACTTTTCCAAGTCTCTTTGAGATTCTTCACCATCAAATTTCTCTCCTATGGCCCCTCTCTGAGAAACAATTAGATCACAATATACTTGAAGTACACATCAATGTACAAATGTACTCAAACCAGTCTCTAATTTATATTATTGAACTCAGGAATTAATGAACAACTAGCGAAGGACTGGTGGAAAGTTTCACTTTCAGGCAATTATAATGGACATGCCAGAGCTAACATAAATTTTGCATGTAGAGACTATTCTGGGACCTCAGCTTTTCTTCTAACCCAACTTGTCATTTCAAATTCATTGTTAAAATTAAAATGTTCTTCAATTGATAATTCTTCCTGATTACCTAATAATGCATGCATGCTCATGTAGGAAATAACAGGGGTAATAAGTGAGAATTTTAAGTATTCAGATATCCAGCACATGTGAGCCCTTGCAGACCAGTATTCCTTAAGTGTCAGGGGATTTCTTTAGTATCAGAGTGACTGGCAGCTTCCCAAGAAGTGTTTCTGCTTTACAGAGCTAGCTTTCCATGGCACAGTTCTGACAGAACTGCATGCCAAATGATTATTTGTGTTGTGTTTGCATCTTCAATTATTCAGTAACATTTCTAGAAGTGTGCCACTCCAATAACCTCCAGTTTTTTAAATGTCACTTAATCTGCTACATAATTCCGATCTCTTTTTCTCTTTATAGTTAGTTAGAGATTCCCACTGCGATGGCCCAGGTTTAGTTCAAATTCCTGTCATGCTTGGTTTATTGTGGTCCAAGTGGCACTGGGATAGATTACCTTTGGATACTTCGGTTTCCCCTGTCAATTCTCACTGTACCAAATGTTCCATATTTATCTGTCATCTAATCTGCTACAGTATGTTCACCAGTGGCTGATTTAACCAAGCGTACTCAGTCTCACTCCAACCCACAGATTAAGAAAAAAAAAATTAAAATTATTACAACTTTTAGGCAAGTACAGCAACACAGGCAATGAAGCTCATGTGGAGAATCTCTGAGCAGACAATATTGAAGGAAACCTTGGAATCGATTATCCAAAAATATGGGATCTTCAAAATCTGAGGAACCTATTGGCCTCCTAAAGCTAGAGCTTTTCCCCTTTACCTTTTCAAGATAAATATTCTTAAGATAACAATTTTTGTAATCTAATGACTCAACCTTTACTTCTGAACTCTATGATAGCTTCTATTTAGAGAGTAACCGAACTGTAGGGATAAAATTTTCCCTATGCATAATTCTTTAAGAACCACATGATAAAATATATGGGAAAGCGGTTGCATGGCTCCATGTATTCTTAACCTCAACACTAGAGGGTTGTGAGTGGCAAGCTTCACACCATAGTTTGGCAAATGGCACTGGGTGAATTTGATAGGTGACTGAGTGGGCTAGATAGCCAGTCTGCAAACTTTGGAGAAGATAAATATCTCTTGCCCCTGTCAGGAATGAGCCATAATTCTTTTCCATCCATCCCATTTATTTGTGCTATATCAACTAAAGCAACTGTTTGAGCTCCACAAGATAACACCCATGGAATAGAATGTCATACATTAATTCTATACAGCTACAAAAATCCTAAATTAAGTTATGGTTATTATCTAACATATTTTGTAAAATTGCTGCAATTCATTTGTGTCTTAATCTTTTGAGATATGTACTCACAAATCAAGTTTGTGGTATATTGTGTTTATTTTTCAAACAAAACAAAATAGTAATAAAGAACAAGAAGTCCTGATAAGAACTAGTTGCCTACTTTCTTTCATATGACATAGACCACATAGAAAAAGATGCCTCCGACAATTTTTCTATCATTGAATGCACATTCATTGTCACGGGAACATGTCTACTTAGCCTTTGCCTGGCAACTATAGGCAAGACACATTCAGACATACAGACTGATGGAGGGATTTGTATGAAGTACATTGTTGAGATGGCCTCAGGTGCCATGACATACACAACAAGTTTCAGAAAGACTGGTGCAGGCATTCGAAGGTTGATGGGGGAGAATACACAGGCACACAGACAGCAATGTGATATCATAAGCCCATTTTTATGTTTTCAAAAAAGAAGAAAATATGCTAAAACTGGGGTAACTTTTCAACGTTACTCACAACCAATCCAGTGCTCTAGCTATTTATGAGAGGTCTATAGCATAATATTGAAGCAGGAAAATACTGTACATGCAGAATAAAGGTAAAAAGCTGTCCCTGTAACAGGCCATGAAGGCTCATAGAGTTGTGAGACGTCTAGACTCCCACATTTTCTCTAGACAATTGGGTCGCAGATGGCAGTAAGGTTGACAGCCTTACGCGACGACCGCCCTTTAACCCCCCCCCCCAAAAATGTTCCTGGTACTCATTTCTGTCAGAGGCTGAGTCGACCGCAGGGCCACAGTGTGGCTGGAAGGATTATGTACATTGAAAATATCCACCTCATCGGAACTCGAATCCGCGACCTTCCGTCTTGTAGCATAGTGCCTCAACCAACCACGCTACAGCATGCCCCCATATACAAGCAGAATGCTTAGCAGAAATATTCAGGAAGTCTAGAATTCAATATGTGAGTTGAAAAGAAAACTCTGAAACGGCCCCTTTTATTTTGGAGGGAGCCCAACTTGTTGAAGACACATTTCGCCTCCATCTGTAGGGTCGAAGAATAGGCCAAGCAAGAAACAAGCAGAAGTTACAGATCAACGCTTCCAAGTCACGTGGCGTTACAACCTAAGACCGTACTCTTCCGTCATCACCGTGATAACTTCAAATCCCGCATAGCTTTCTGTAGTAAGGTGCCTTGTATTTGCCGAATGTAGGAGGAGATGTCATGCGCGTTACTACATATACCAGAAAGCTCGGTGTTTTGAGGAAGTGTAGCGTGGGATAGAGATTTTGAGCAGAGCACAGAATTGTAAATGAGCTGTTTTTCTACGAATGTTTATAAACAATGACAGGAACAACATACAGTGTTGCTCTCTATAAGAGAAGCTATGCAAAGGAAAGCAAATCTGGGATACATTCTTCCTTCACTTTTCCTAAAGACCGGAAAATAATTGAGAGAAAACTAGAATGTGTTATAGAGAAAAAACTCTTTGTTTTTTAAAATAAATTTGCAGTAATAATTTAACCTTCAACGATTTTGAACGTCAAATATAAGCAACATTTATCAACACAGCAGCGAGAAAATTGAAAGGGGAAGTTTCATTCCATCGTCAGATTTGTTTCCCCAGTCATTCAAACCTGACGAACATATAAAATCAGGGTGTACACCAGGGATGCGTGTCGCCCGGGCAACGAATGGTACCAGCGACCAATATAACAGACAAATACTGAGGATATTGTCACCAAACAACTGTAGAGGGCTGACAAATTTTAAAATTTAGAGCTCTTCCTTTTCGATGTTATTCTACACAAGGAAATGACAACAATGAAAAATCGAACTAACGACCTTCGCTTGTTGTGGAATACATAACGCAAAAAGTATTGAGGGTCAAGCAGCGTCTGTACGTGAATGAAGAGCATTAGAGACCCCATGCTGTACCAGAGCACTTCAGTTAAGACACTTCAATTCAGGGATATTTTTCAAAATACTCCATCCCTTGATAGAGAAAATAAGAATTACTTGACAAGATATTACACCAACAAATCGGGTTTACGCAACTGTCCGTAAGTAGACGTCTTCTCTCGAGACGAACATGTGATCCTTTTTTTTCGATTCCGGGGCCGAAATTAAGATACTTGACAGAGGGAGTACATGTAAGAGCGATTTCTCGGTTGTATTCAAATTGGGAAATAACCGCTCAATCATCTATCTTTTAGGAACAATATGAAACCCATAATGAAGCAAGCGATGTCAGAATTCAGCATGATTTGAATCACTCGAAAAAGCGTTTCTCGTGATATCAGAATTTATAGCACAAATGATCCTGCGAGATGATTGCCTAAAAAAAAAATCTGTAATTTTGGATTTCAATGACACATGTCTGTATAGGGAGAAGGAAGATCAAGTCAACAGATAGTATTTTAATAAGGAAAAGAGAATGGAAATTGGAGCAATAGACGAGATTGTCATGAAGAACGGTCACTTGTCAGCAGTTTAAAGGAAGAACTTAACTAGAGATGCGGTATGAAGCATTTCTGTCAGTAACATGGAAAATGTAGCTTCCACAGCAATATCAGTTCACACTAGGCCTGTTGAATTTTTCGTATGAGGCGCTTTACGCAAACAGACAAATCTAATGAAAAAAATAAATAGTTTCATTCAGTGTGACTGGTTATGATTTTCTTATTTCAATTATTCATGCTCATACATGTTTCGGTCTTCAGAGACCGTCTTCAGAGGGACTTTTTACATCAATGCAGTTAGAAAACACTATTAGAATACATGTTCTAAAAGTTAAAATATATACATACAATATAAATAATATACAATTGCTGCAAAATCTAAGTCTTTACAACTACAGCAGCTGTTCCAATACATTAAAATATTCATAGTTTGTTAAGATTCTATTGGAAATAGTAAACCAAGCTGTTTCGTGTCATCACTATTATTATTTCTTTTGACAGGGGCCGAAAGTGCGCCACCTTGTCATTCACGAGAAAAGGGTTCTTTAATGTTGTCCCATATGTGTTTGAAACACAAATTTGGAAGTTCATTCACAGATAAACTGGAGTGCTCTGTATATTTTGTTCCTTGGTTTTATGTTATATGCATATATTACTGTGTACCTTCATACTGGACAGCCTTGATTTTTCTTCAAGGTGTTCTTTCAATGCATCAGACCGTTCCATGGCACGTGTAGCTTCTTCAACTTTCCATTTCAAGCACTCCATCTAACAAAAGATTACAACACAATACATTCACCACCATTTAGGGTACCAACAGTGAATGAGATGTAAATGAACAACTACCTAAGGACTGGTGGAATGTTTTGATTTCAGCCACTTATAATGGGCTTGCCAGAGCTTACATAAATGACATACTTAGTGGCTGTAACAGGAAGATAAGCGTTTCCTCTAACACATTACATTATTTCAAATTTTTGATTGTAATTACTATTTTAAAATATTATTTCAAATCTAGCTACTAATGTACAACTACTCATGCATAAAATAATGTTGTATAAGTTTATTGGGGCCACAAAGATTTCCAGTTCCACCAACTTTCAATACTACAAACGCACATTACCCTAATACACTGTGAAAAAGTTGCATTTATTAGAAAAATTAATTTCCAGCATTATGCTGTTGCTTATTAATCTTCAGTTAAATTAAAAAACATTTTAAATTTGATATGTATAGTAATTTAGTGTAAAGTACTGTAAGCCTTTCTTCAAATTCTGTCAATGAAATCAACTAATATTGTAGATTAATGTCTGTATGAATTCATCAGTATCAAGAATGTATATTTCAAACTTGTTTTCTATTTATTTCATTCCATAAAATGAAATCCTTTCAATAGAAACATACTTCTCGAAATCATTTAGGAACTGTGTGTGTGTTATAAAGTGTATATACTGAACACAAAATAATTCATTCATAGATACATGTTAGAAGAAATGAGAAATCCTATAGAACCGAATATGATACTCCTTTTGATATCAGAAGTACTTAGAGATTGAAATAATAATTACAAATTAATATGAGTAAATTGTGATAGTTCTGAAAATATTCTGAAGTCAGAAGTCCATAGACTTCTGACTTGTGGAAGCATCAAAATACAGCATAATCCCAATTATCTGAACTAATACAGCTGAAGAGAAGCGTACTTAATCGAAATGCATACATGACCTGTACTAGTTATGATCAGGAAACCATGGTTAATGTACAAACTCAAATGAGAACAGGCAATGTCCAATTTATATAACGATCTGAAGCATCATCATACTGAATACACTTACAATTGGTATACATAAGTTTATATAAAACATTGTATGCCTCAATTTAAGTAAATATTATTTCTCCAATGTGAAAGAAAATTTAAGTGGCCTGATGCTGTGTGGTTAATTTTTCACATAAAATTTCTTGAAAATGTCACACCTCCACTCGCATCATGTGTCAGATCATTTAGACTGAGCAACTTAACATGCACTCTGAGCAATCTGAAACGCGTAAACCTTTCGTGTGAAGTGTGTTCTTTCTTCAATAAATACATAATGATTTATGCTTGATAAATGCGGAGAAACACATGAATGCCCGCATGTAAAGTGATTGTTAAAATTTGTGTGACAAAAATGATAACTGATTTGGCTTGAAAATTCTTGGTAAATTTCTTTCACTTCAGATTTCTTGAAAATCTGAACACTGCTTCCCAAGTTTCATCATGCATCGAATGGCAGATATACAGAGAAAGTTAAAACTGACACTACAGAATTGCATATGTTGTAAATGGCACATGAATAACACACAAACAGGGAAATCTGTGCATGGATAATTGAGAGCATATTGTATGTCTGTCCCTTGGTGTTATTTTGTATGCATATTTTATACTGTACCTTGTTATGTGACTCTCTTATCTGGTCTTCAATATGCTTGATTTTCGAAATATGCTTATCCAAGTCTCTTTGAAAATCTTCACCATCAAGTCCCTCTCCTATGGCCCCTCTCTGAGAAACGATTAGATCACAATATATTTGAAGTACACATCAATGTACAAATGTAATCAAACAAGTCTTTAATTTATATTCTTGAACTCAGGAATTAATGAACAACTAGCAAAGGACTGGACTCTCAGGCAATTAAAATGGACATGCCAGAGCTAACATAGATTTTAAATATAGAGACTATTCTGGAACCCCAGCTTTTGTTGTAACCCAACTTGTCATTTCCAACTCATTGTTAAAATTAAAATGGGTTCCAATTGATAATTCTTCCTGATTACCCATTAATGCATGCATGCTCAAGTAGGAAATAACAGTGGTAATAAGTGAGAATTTTAAGTATTCAGATATCCAGCACATGTGAGCCCTTGCAGACCAGTATTCCTTAAGTGTCAGGGGATTTCTTTAGTATCAGAGTGACTGGCAGCTTCCCAAGAAGTGTTTCTGCTTTACAGAGCTAGCTTTCCATGGCACAGTTCTGACAGAACTGCATGCCAAATGATTATTTGTGTTGTGTTTGCATCTTCAATTATTCAGTTACATTTCTAGAAGCGTGCCACTCCAATAACCTCCAGTTTTATAAGTGTCACTTAGTCTGCTACATAATGCCGATCTCTTTTTCTCTTTATAGTTATTTAGAGATTCCCACTATGATGGTGCAGGTTCAGTCCAAATTCCTGTCATGCTTGGTTTATTGTGGTCCAAGTGGCACTGGGATAGATTACCTTTGGATACTTCGGTTTCCCCTGTCAATTCTCACTGTACCAAATGTTCCATATTTATCTGTCATCTAATCTGCTACAGTAGGTTCACCAGTGGCTGATTTAACCACGCGTACTCAGTCTCACTCCAACCCACAGATTAAAAATAAAATAAAATTGTTGCCACTTTTAGGCAAGTACGCTATACTATACAGTATACAGTCCTACACTGACGGAAGGGTCATATTATCCGAGTCTTATCCAGAACACGCTGGAACATACCGATATTTTCTTCATGAAGTTAACTGATGATGTATAACCAAAATCACAATTAAATACTAAACTATCCACCCAGAAGTCGCCTTGTTTGGCCACAATATTTATGGAACTTGGCGTTTGGGAAAATCCTCAGCACACGTTGTAAAATTAGCGTTATCCTGCTTAGCATAATCAACATTTATGGCAATTCTTAGGAAGGAGCAATTTCCATCGCTGCTCCATTCTGAACTCCGCACAACCAGTAAGAATTGCTGCTAATCTTACCAAGGCTCAATTTCCGTTTTCCATCCACTATGAGCTCCTCACATATATAAGTAGTGTCTGCAGCTCTTAGGGAAATGCAACATCCATTTTCGCTCTAGTGTGAACTAACCAATGTCACTCCGTTGTTCACGTTATTAATGACGAAGAGGAAGGTTTGATGACTGTGGACCCAGCAAGATTTCGAAGCGCTGCGCCAAATTTTCGCGTTTGTTTATTCCATCCCAATTACGATGTACCATTTGCTATGAATATCGAAGTGAGTAGGGTACAAGTGTAGACGGGAACGTGCCACCTGTTTCAGTGTGTGGCTATGTTTCCGGGTGTGGTTTACTGCCAAAGAGGCATATGGGAAACAATTGTATCTGAGAAATTTCATCTCCAAAATATTCTCGCGGTAACTAAATGAATGGAACATATGGGGACAGCATGAGTCACGGGACGTATCTGTAATTTCATGCTTATCCATAGCCTGTGATTGTTGCGCGAAATTTAAACAATAAATTCTGAGAAGTACTAATCGCCTTCTTTCCTTTCACTAGAAATTCTATGGCACTGTGGTCAACTCAACCTCTAACAGAAATGAGTACAAGGAATCTTTCTCAGGTTAAAGTGCGGCCGGCGCCTAAGTCTAACAACCTTACCGTCATCTGTGGACCGACTGCCAAGAAAAACATACCTCTCTCTTTCATTCGCGATGTGAAAGGCTGTCGACAGTTGGACAGACAAGCATATGTCCCGAGTACTTCGCAACTTTCTGAAAGAACGGCTGTCCCAGTCTTTCTGTTTCCATGACCTTGCCATAATATTGACTTCAAAGCTTGGAAATAGATTCTAGAGCTATTCGGAACATATTGTGCAAATTCAAGCACATTTTGCCCATACACACAGGGCTGTGCCCCTCAGAGCATAAGGTCCTGGGCAGCTGCTCATTTTGGCCACTGGAGAAGCGACCCGGCTTACAGGTTGCAAAAGTGCATCTGAGTAAATTGTTGTGGGTTGAATAAATCGTGCTCCTGTCTCTCTTGCAGCATAGCACGTTTTTGTAATGTGACTCGTTTTTCTAATTATTTTTGTATATTTATTTAATCTTATTCTAAATAAGTATTATCAGTCGACGGCAATTAATCTAAAATAAAATTATTAGCCCTACGAATTGTGAAACATAAATATTCTTGGATTTAAAGTAGTTGGTTGAAATTCAACTGACGTTTCGGGACATCGTATCGTCTCCAATGCCAGGGGTGAAGCCAAGCAATAACGCAGCCTGTTTGTTGCCTGCCTTGTACTGGTTTCTTCCTTGGCTTACTCTTTATGTCTGAAGTTAGAGGTAACATACTCCTCTGTAACGTCGGTTGACTTTAAAGCATTAGATGATGTTGCATTCCAAAAGACAGAACTCTACAAACCACAGTTGTCAGAACTTCAAATTCTACAGAATGATTTGTATTTTCACTTACAGTTCTTTTCCGGCGCCATCCACAGCAGGGGAAACAAGCCCCACACCTATCCTCTTCTTCGTCCCAACACATTACTAGTTACGTTTTTCTAAAATCGGATTATTTCTTGTAACTCGCTTGCATTCAGCTACAAGGAAGATTATCAACTGAGTTTTATCCACGCAAAGAAGTTCTACCAATAAACAGGTGTATCCATGGAAACGAAGGAAACACGACGAAGATTTCGCAACAACCTCACTGTTCATATAATAAAACGATATATGTCCATTGTTGGCTGTTGTCACTGCAGTGAAACTGAGACTATGACATGAGACTGTTGTACCCGGAGGAAGGGGGCGAAGCCAGGACCGATATTAAAACAAGAAGCTCTGGGAAGAACTAGAATTCTGTTTACTTTACGACTGGTAGTTTAGTACCAATCAGTTCGTCTTGATGACAAGTCCCTTGAAATCACGACCAGAAATTCTTCTTTTTTGCAACTGAACCTTTGCAGTAATAATCCTTATGTAACATCTTCTAAGGGGAGGATGGGGTTTTCTCCCATGAATAGATTTCACCTAAACATATATCGCATATCTAGAATGTTACCTTATGATACAACAGAAGGTTAGTCACTTGAACGGCCGTAAGCTTTACCGCCTCCAACATTAACCCTCTTGTATTTTCTATGTCTCATTTCGCCTTGTTCCATGCTGCGAATATGTATATTCTCATGATTTTATATGGCTTCTGTTTGTTGCCCGCATAATTCTGTTATATAATCGTGTACATACGGAAGATTGAAAGCCATGTTCGAATCACAGACTGGTGTGCCCCTTGGAAGATTTGCAATACGTTGGAGAAACTTGTTTTGTAGGCTCTGCAATTTTAAGAGTTAGGTGTCTGTCACTAAATTGCAGCCGGGTCAAGCGTAAGTAATTAATGATCTATCGGAATTAGTGCTTTATGGATGGTTGATTTCACATTGGCACTTAAACGATCACTTTTGAATAGGGAGTAGATTCTAATTAAATTTTTGAAGGCCTTGACTTCAATCATTTCTATGTGCAGCCTCCATGTAATCCTTTTATCGAAGATTACACCCAGATATTTTACATGACTGATAAAGGGGATAGTGCGAGTCTTGTATTACGATTGACCGCCAGTCTTCCAGTCCGTTTTTTAATAAAGCCCCCTCTGGGGCCTACGACCAGATTCTTATTACTGTCAGGCTGTTGCAGGTTTTTTGATGTAGGGCGCTCTTTCTGACAGGAGGATAGGTCTATTAATTACAATTGCTCCTGGCTCTCGCCAGTTCAATCATTCTCGGGTCCGAGTCCCGTGGGACTCGTGACAGTATTTTACTCTCTCAGGTTCGAGACTTCCATTTTCGTCGCCTCCTACGACTCGCATGGCTAGAGTGGAGGTATTCGACCCCGCGTCCACACAGGAGATAAAGGGATTATTGCGCCCATTCAATGTAAAATAGCCCCGGATGGACTCTACAGAAATAACGCTTTCAACAAGTTTTCTATGGGTGTGTGTGTTTCCGTTGCTACGGTCACATGATTTGGTTGCCGTGGAAACGTGTTTACTCAGCCGTTCCCTCGCAAACGCAGTCCTTTCTGGCTCCACTATTCAGGCCTTTTGAACCATCACGTACGGCTACATAGCGTCGAATGGTCCGATTTGGAAATGTTTGGATGGAAGAGGTCGTGACCTGCTATCCTGGAATGAAGGTAATGAGGAAAACCACTTCAGAACCTCGGTCAGGATACTGGTGTCCCGATCGAAATTCGAACCAAACACATACAGCTATATCAATCTGCTCGGCAAATGTAGATATCATTCTTTTTCCTTTTCCCACCATTCAGTGCTGTTTAAATGAGTAATCTGCTATGAGCAACTCACACCCAAACAAGTAATTGTACACCTACATACGCGAAGTAAGTACTAATTAATTCCAGTCTACAGTAGCATTAATACCATATAAACATTCAGGAAAATTAGCAAACAACACTAAAAACCAAAATCATTAAGGTATTAAGGAATAAAAAACAGGAACATAACCAAGGAATCAGTCACAGAATATCTAAGTATGCACATGTAAAAGAAAGTAAAAATACGCGGTATAATCATTCCCTACAATATATTGTGACGGAATTCATTGCCAAACAACGGGTTGTTAAAACACGTTTCCGGGACAACCAGCTAGTACAATTGATTCGTGAGTAACGCTTGGTAAACACTGACTGAAAGCTTGAATAGTGGAGCCAGATAAGGAATTATCAGTTTTTCTAGGCAACTGTTCATGCACGTTTCCGAGACAACGCATTCATGAGAAACAATAGTGGAACCCTTGGACATGGTGAATTCTATCAGCGCCGATTGACCGTCGATAGTGACCTAATTTTGACTTTGAGTTCATAAGATATAGGAATACCGTGTGGAGGCGGGGTCGAATATCTCCACCGTAGCCCTTCTGAATCGTAAGAGGCGACGAAAATGGAAATCTCGAATGTGAGAGAGTAAAATATGGCCGCGAGGTAGTGATCAAATTCCGGCAGAACTTATTCAAGTAGGAGGCGAAATATTACATTCTAAGATCCATAAGCTAATTCTATTTGGCATAAGGATAAATTGACTGATCAGTGGAAGGAGTCTGTTACTGTACCTGTTCACAAGAAGGGTGATAAAAGTGACTGTAGTAATTATCGGGGGATATCACTGCGATCAACTTCATACAAAATTTTTGTCAATATTCTTCTCTCAAGGTTAAGTCTATACATACATGAAATTATTGGGGATCATCAGTGTGGTTTCGACGAAACAGATCAACTATGGATCATATTTTTGGCATTTGTCAGATATTGGAGAAAAAATGGGACTACAATGAGAGTGTACATCGGCTATTTGTAGACACCAAGAAAGCGTATGAATCAGTTAGGAGGAAAATATTGTACAATATTCTGACAGAGTTTGGGATACCAATGAACCTAGTTACTTACTTACTTATGGAGCTGAGAACTTCTGGAGGAGTCGCCAATTCTGCAGCTACTCAAGAATTTCCCAGAATTTCATGTAACTCAAAGGTTTATTAACGTGTCCACAAGAGCCCTTCACTGGTTCCTATCCGGAGCCAGGACAATCCAATCCATACTCTTATGCATGAATGGGGGTTAAAGAGATACTACTAAATTACTCAGTCGCCATCCTTCTGTTGGCTGGCTCCTCCGTCACTGACACCACTTTGTAATGGCGTAAAGCGGGCGTGTAGGTTCTAACCCGTCTCTACCCACTACCTGTCACGCCCCCAAGACTGGGGTGTTAATTGATTACCCTTCACTAGGATTCTCCTGGCTCCGAACCTTCTTCGTTGCATACAGCTGCCTGGGGTCAGTTTTGCCTTCGTCGGGACTGGAATAGCTCTGGATCGGTCGGGGAAGGGTTAGTGCGTGGGGGTAAATCACAACTCTGGTACATCCTATCCTAAATACATCGGTCTATTTACACTCTTATTTACAATATAGAAATGCCGACGTTCTGTCGGTTTATATAATATCTGTCCGATAACTCTTTCTTACTTTCATTTTCATCTCTCGCCTAGAGCGGATGGCTTGAGACTGTCCTTCCCTTCATTCTCTACCCTCTTTAGCGTAGTCTCAACCCTAGCCTA